GAGCACGCAGGGCGCGCGCTCTCAGCACATATTTTTTTTGTTACATTAATGCAAATGTGCGGCCGCTCGGTGTCTAGGCCCAGACTCCAGGAGGCCGCATATTTGTGTGCGGACGGCGTGAAGGGGTTAAAAAGAGCCAGTCGAAATTGACATTGTCAAAGCCCTTTTCAGCGTCTAGTGAGATAATTACAGCATCATGGGGTGTGCCAGTTGCTGCTTGATTCAGAACCGAAATTACCTTACGGATGTTAGGTGCGGCCCTGTACAAAGCCCGCTTGTGAAGGGTGTATGAGAGCGGGTAATTTAGCTGCTAATCGAGACTATGATTTTTGATAGTTTTGCGTCCAGGTTTAGGAGGGATATTGGCCTATATGATCCAGGGTCTGTCGGATCTTTGCCTTTTTTGGCTGTCAATTTGATGTGTGCTTACAGTCTGGTGGTGAGGTATTCCCCTCCTTCCTGAATTGCCTGGAATACATTCTGTAGAGTAGGGGAAAGCGTGTCGGCCATGAGTTTATAAAATTCGGCCGTGTAGCCGTCAGGGCCAGGGGCTTTGCCATTCGCAAGAGATTTGATGGCTAGTACAATGTCTGATTAGGATATTGGGGCGTTCAGGGAATGTAGCACTGTTGGGTCTATGTGCAATAAAGAGATAATAAAGAGGTGGCCCGGGTAATGTCTATAGGATCGGAATCGTATAGTTTCCAGAAGTGTTTCTAGAATGGCTATAAGTTCACTGGATTTGCACTTCACTGCTCCCTGGGGCTCTTTCAAGGACGTAAAGAGGGTGGGTATAAAAGGTGTTTTACATAATCTTGCTAGCAGCTTACCCGGCATGTTGCCAAATTTGTGGAAGTTTAGGTCAGTGTGTGATTGGTATAGTGTCTCTTGAGCTGCTGCCCAGGTGTCAAATTGTCGTTTATCGTCTGTCCAAGCTTTCCTTTTTTCGTGAGCGTTATGATTCGCTTAGTAGGTGTAGGTGAAAGTGATAATCCTGCCACGAAGCACCGCCTTGCCCCTTTCCCAAAAGAGTTTTGGGTTTGATTAATGGGCTGCGTTTGTTTTGCAAAGTTCAGACCAGGTATTATGGAGAACCCGGAATAAATGCTGATTATTGTCCAGCAAAGAAGGGAAATGCCATGTTGGTGGATGTTGGTTAGGTTGTGAGTAGTGCAGAGTTAGAGAAATCGGGGAGTGATCAGAAATTACAATGTCATGGACAGTGGCATCCGTGATTTTTTGTAATAGGGCAGGGTTAGAAAAAAGGTAATCAATTCTGGATAAAGTATGGTGGACAGGGGAGAAAAAGGTGAATCTTTCCCTTCTGGATGAGCTAGAAGCCAAACGTCCGTGAGTTGTAGTGCTTCAGCAAAATTGCTCAGTATTGTGTGTGATGAGGGTTGAGTGAGTGGTAGGGAGTGTACGGGTTAAGTTAATTGATTTTGATTTGTCCTCCTGTATATTCAAATATGAGTTGAAGTCTGCTCCCAGAACAAGAGGGAGATGCATGTAACTCAAAATTTTACGTGACTGTCTGAAAAAATAGCTTGGACTGGGAATTTGGGGCATAAGTATTAATCAAAACCAGGGATGGGGAGCCTAATTTAATGTGTACAGTGACATAACGTCCCTCCTGGTCTGTCTCTATCGAGACAATGTCAGGAAAGAGTCTTTTATGAATGAGAATAAGTACTCCCACTTTGTGACTGACTGAGGGAGAGCCCAAAACTTGGCCCACCCATTGTTTTTTCATGCGCATAAAATCAGTTGGAGTTGCGTGTGTTTCCTGGAGAAATGCGATGTCTGCTTTCAGGCGCTTAAGGTGGCGAAGTATGGCCATACGTTTATGCGTCGATCTCCGGCCCTTGACATCCCATGATACTATGCGTGTCATGATAGTGTAGTTATGGGGTTGATTGTATATGGTTTTAAACTTTTCCAATACAATGTAGGATTAGCGAGTTCCTCAACATTATCTAGACATTTCTGATGTAGTGCATAAGGCTGGGGTGTTGGGGGGTCTCCAGGCAGATAGGAAGGAGAGAGTAGAGAAGTGGGGGGTGGAGGAGGGTACATAGATGCAAAGGCGACCCAACAGGGTTCCATGTAGCAATATATGTAAGTAAAACAGGCAAAACGAGTGGGTGAGAGTCACTTGTATTGTGAAAACTACTCACCATTGAGTGGAGAGGGGGCAGAAAATACTGAGAATCCAAATGAGGGTCGAGGGTTCCGTCAGGGTGGCCTTTGTTTGGCGGTATTGAAGTTGACGCGTTGCTTTTTAGGTGGGTCTTTTCACAGACTGCGCTGGTCTCTTGAGCCTAGGTCTCGGGGCATGTTGTTAGTTTAGAGGGCCCGCACTATCCGATAGATTAGTTTGCAGATACTGGAGGGCTCCTTTGGGTGAATGAAGGATTTAGGGTCCCCTGTAGGCGTCGTGAAGCGGAGTGTGTGGCAGGGTATGCAAGGGTGAATTTGATCCCTTTTTGACGAAGCGTAGCGCTGGAACACTTTACGTTTGCGGGAGACTTCCTGAGAATAATGGGCAAACAATAGCAACTTGTGGCCCTCTCGTTGCAAAGAGCGTGAGTTGCGAAATTTAATTCAGGATAGCGATGCATCAGCGAAGGTTCGCTGTCTGACATTTGTTCTACGTGCCTTCCAGTTGCGCTGGGCATACCGCCACCCTGTCAGGTCGAAAGCGCACACCGCCTTGGGGAGCCTTCAAATGATAGACGTACGCCACGCTTTGTAATAGTCAGATACCTAAACTACGCTGACCGCGTTGGTGCATTGTAGGATTCTGGGAGGCCTACGACGCGCAGATTGTTCCTGCGTGAGCGGTTTTCTAGGTCGTCAAGTTTGTCTAAGATGGATTGCTGCGTACATTTGGAATGTGAAACGCCAGCCTGCATAGCTTGAAATTCGTTTTCTAGATCGAAGAGGCATTGTTCAGCTTCAGTTATACGTTTGGCGTTGTCTCCCAAATCCTTTCTAAGTTGCTCTGTCCACTGCCTGAGTAATGTTGGGTAGTAGTATAGAAGCCACAGCCTATGCAATTCTATCATATTGGTTCGTGGGACTAAAGGTGTCAGCATGCCCCAGTGTTTTTGTGATGTGTGGCTGTGACTCTCATACCTTGTCCTGCATCTATTTACATGCTGTTGGAGCTGCTGCTGTTGATTTGAACGGCGGCCATTTTGGCTGCAGATGAGGGAGAGCTGTTCCCCTGGGATCCCACCGCGGTACCGGAGCCGGGTGGGACCGGTAATAGTCATCGCTCCATGTGGGGGGAGCGGCGGGGGCTCGGGGGGGCATTTTTTGTGCCTGTATATTAGGTTTCCCTGTTGCAGGGAGCTTTATGGTAGCGGTGATTCCCGGAGCCGCGGTACCCACGTCCTATCCCCTACGACGCATGAGTCCTTTTTTAAGACCATAAGAAAAGTAAGTAAATTCATTTGGTCAAATAAAAAAAACAAGGGTTAGTCTTGAAGTATTATGCAGAGATAAGGCTAATGGTGGTTTAGGCATGTCGGATTTTAAGAGGTATCTTCGCGCAGTACTAATTTCACGTATGATTGAGCGGATTTACTATACACCGGAGAAGATATGGGTAAAAATTGAAAATACAGTAAGTAGGTCACAGTTTAGATAAGATAATATGGCTTCCACAACAATACCAAAGTTTTTCGGAAAATACAAGTATTTTAACACAGAATGTTTTAAGAGAATGGGATAGATTACATAAGTGAATGGGATGGGAATATAATTCACTATTAATTCCACTGGAGGGAACAGATTTTTTCCCACCAGGGAAGGAAGACGTTGCATGTAACTCGATTAAAAAAAAAAAAATGCATGTTTTGAAGGATATCACGGAAAAGAGGGAGTTGCTTTCTTTTTTAGAATTAAAAGATAAGAGATTTAATTTTTAGGTTAGATGAGTGGCGGTACCACCGAGTCATTTCGTATCAGCTCTTCCACAACCATTAAGGATGGTGGACAGCATTTATCTTCTGGAACGATTGTTAAGTTAGGAGACGAAATGTAAACATACAACTTCTTGTATTTATAAGACTCTTACTAATATTGCAGGAGCTGTCTGTCCGTTGTACCTTGGGAAATGTAAAAAAGAGCTTGAAACAAAACTAGAGGAGCATGATAAGAAAATATTTAGACTGGCCCATAGTGCTAGAAATCTGAATATAGTAGAGATGCACTATAAATTTCTAGTAAGATGGTACTGTACACAGAGTGTAGCACATAAACAACGATCACAAAATTCACTGCTATGTTGGAGGGGATGTGAGTTTGAAGGAACTATGGCGCTTATATGGTGGGATTGTCATTATATTCAAGAGTTTTGGCAATGAATAATTCAACAAATTCAGATGACAACAGGAACAAGAATACCAAAATACCCTTGGGTGTGTATATTTCATAAAGGAGACTTTACGGTGAAGCAATAGAAGAATACGTTAATATTTCACTTAATAAATGCAGCTAATGGTTGATTCTGAAATTTTGGCAAAGTAAGGAAACCCCTAAATTAAAAGATTGGTTTAGTAAAGTGGAATATGTGTAGGATGGAGGAACTTTACCATATTTGGAGAAGATAAAACCAAAGAATTTAGAAAAACATGGGAGGAGTGTATAATTTATAAAACTAAGATTTATGCAGAATTGAAAGGAATGTGAAGGAAAGGAAAGTGAGAAGGGGAAGAGGAAGGAAGATGAAGGGGAAGTCTGCGGTAAAGGAAGGAATGAGGTTAATTGAGGGTTAAGGTGACGGGGGGGGGGGGGGGGGGGGGAGGGTAGGGAGGGTGGTGTGTAGGGTTTTTTTTGTTTAGTGTAAACATGTTTGATATGGAAAAATATTGTATAATGTGAAATGTATGTTAAAATTAATAAATATGAAAAAAAAAAAAAAATATTCCCCATAGGTGTTTGATTGGGTTCAGACCAGGCGATATACTTGGCCACTGAATCACTGTTGTTCTTCAGAAATGCAACAGTGGCCTTAGATGTGCGTTTTTAGATCATTGTCATGATGGAAAAGTGCACGACAACCAAGGGCACAGAGTGATGGTAGCATCTTCTCTTTCAATATACATCTGAGAATTCATTATACCAGCAATGAAATGCAGCTCCCTGACACCAGCAGCACTCATGCAGCGCCACAGAAGGACACTGTCACCATGTTTCACTGTAGGCACCATGCATTTTTCTTCGTACTCCTCACCTTTGCGACGCCATACAGTTTTGAAGTCGTGGGCTCCAAAAACATTTATCTTTGACTCATCACTCAAGAGTACAGAGTCCCAGTAGTCTTCTTTTTCAGCATGGGGCCTTGCAAATTCTAGGCAGGCTTTTTTGTGCATGGGCTTTAGGAGAGACTTCCTTCATGAACGACACCATGCATGCCATTCCTCCTCTGCAGTGTACGTCATATTGTGTCATGGGAAACTATCACTCAATTTTGGCTTTCTACTTCAGCAAACGGCAGTAAACTTGCATGGTGATTTTTCTTCAACCCTTCTCACTAGAAGATGCTCCTGTCATGTGTTAACTTCCATGGACAGCCTGGACGTCTCTGTGAGATGGTTGCAGTTCTATCTTCGTTAAATTTCTGTATCACTTTTGCTATGGTATTCTGGCTGATAAGTAAAGCTTTGCTGATCTTACAGCTTTCACCTTTCTTTTGCAATTAAATTTTTTCTTTCTCAGGCCTTGTGACATTTCTCCTCCATGTAGTGCCATTGCTGACAGCATGAAATGGGAAGGGGTTTTCTTTAACACCCTTTTATAGTCAACGGTCTGTTGGACACCTGTTAAATGAATAATTAGACTCGCCTGTAGTTGAATTCATGTTAATTAGAATTTTGTCTAAAATTTAGCTTTGCTCCTAGGGCTTTCATTGGGGTGTATTCATTTTTGGAACATGGTCTTGAATTAGGAAAAATATTTTTTTGTGTGTGCAAATTAACAAATCTTGTTTGCAATCAATGGCCCACATTTTTGCGAGTATTTTGCAGTATAATGTCCCATGGAAAATGTTGATTCTGAAAGAAAAGTAAAGGTTTCCTGACAAATCTGTTGGGGTGTACTCATTTATGCTGAGCACTGTATATACCACGGTATATACTTATTGTATGGTGAATCACGGTGTTGGTCCGATGCTTATTCTCCTGTCCACTCTGCTATTGGTCTACCCCATGGCACCCTTAAAATTCACGTGCAACGTGGGACAAAGTTAAATGCACAGAAATACTAACGTTCCTTAAAGCCCAGAAGGCTGGTTTAATTGTTTTGGTTGAAACTTGCGGTACAGGCCAACTTCAACTGTCCCTGAAATGCCCCTGGCTGGGCATATCATTACATCTGTTCTTCCTGTTCCTGGGGCCAAATCGGTCCCCTGTGAGTTAATCAAGCTGAGCATGGACCCACACAACAGTTTTATTTTTCTACAGGCTAACATTCATGGTCGCCCCGTACTCATACTTTCATGTTACATTCCTCCACCCTTTTTTTTTTTTTTTTTTTCGTGCCAAAATAAAAGAGGAGAAAAGGAAAAAAAAGACAAAAAAAAAAGAAGAACCTGGTCGTATCATGTCAAGAGCTCGGATTGGTTGGATAAAGGAAGTGTTCTGGTAATATAGGTTTTCCATTTCTGGCTAAAGAGATCCATGGAGCATGAATTAGAGAGTTGTAGGTTTAGTTTCTCTGTACGAAGAAGATTGTTTAGGTCCTGTTTGACATCAGATATAGTTGGTGGATTGGATGAAAACCACTTCTTAATGTCTCTCCTAGCAGACATGAGGCAACTTGTCAGCCAAGGTTTGATCTGTTGGGTAGACATAGAATGCAAACTATATAGTCGAGCATTTGAATGTTCCAGATTCCCCAAAATGAGTTGAGTGTTTTTAGATGGCTGCAGGCTGGTGATTGATGCTATAAAGCATTCAACTTGGTCCCAGAACATAGCAATAGTGAGGCACGTCCAAAATCTGTGCAGGAGAGAAGGCTTTTGAAGAGTGCAGTGTGAACAGCCTTGAGGTAGTTTTAGAAAAACTGTAGGGCTTTTAGAAAATAGGGCGTTTTAGAAAAGCTTGCCTCTCGATAATTGTGGGATAATGTTTTTTGTATGCGGCTGCGAAAGTGAAAATTTTCCCCCTATCACAGCTGTGCCAGTTTCCCAGAATAGGTTCGGATTGGACTTATGTGCATCATTAAAGAGAGCAAAATCTGGCCAGGTGTTGGAAATCACCTGGAGGAGTTCCTGGTTATCAGCGAGATCTGAGGGGAAGTGCCAGATTTTGGGGGACTGGTGTGGGTCGAAGTGGTCAATATAGATGGAGATCAGGGAGTCATCTGAAATGGCTATATCATGTATATTAGAATTGGTGATGGCTTGTAGGAGAGAGGAGTTGCAAAAAAAAGTTGTCTATTCTCGTGAGAGTATGATGGACGGGAATAAAACGTGTATTCCTTTCCTTCTGGATGAGACAGCCGCCAGATGTCTGCCAGTTGTAGTGCCTCGACAAATTGAGCAAGCAGGGTAGTGTAGGTGGTGGAGGAAGGTGGGGGGATGTGCATAGTAATCATACGACCTTCTTTGTCAGCCTCTGCAGTTAATCCTCGGGAGAGAGCTGCTTATGTATAAGGATCAATACCTCTGCCTTGCCGTGGACTGATGGGGAGCCATGTACTTGCCCTGCCCGGATTTTTTTTATACGTGAGAAATCAGCTTGGGTTAGGTGGGTTTCCTAAAGCTATATCTATCTTAAGTTGCCTCAGGTGGAGTAGTATCACCATTCGTTTATGGGGGGATCTCCTAGCCCTTGACATTCCATGAAACTATGCGTAGCATCACAACAAAATATCAGCAGTTCTTACATATATATCGCATGTTACCAAAGTCATTGTCCTTGCCCTCTGCCGTTTCCAGCACTCCGTTTGTAAAGAGAGTAACGGACTGATGTAGAAGGAATTGGGTACCTAGGTATAGCTAGAATCAATGGAAGAGAGGTGAGAACGAAAAGGGGCAGTTAGGGCACAACAGGGGTCCAACAGAAAATACACATGGGGAAAACCATTGTGAGAGATTGGACTTCACATTATTCCACATGTAACACCTTTCCATAGACAACGTTACCGGCATAATTGGCCATTGAAATACTGTCTGGGGCTCATGACAAATAAGCCTTCGTCAGAAGCCTTCATCCCCATTCATTTTCAGCAGATCAGAATGGCAAGACTAACAACTTGTACAGTATTTCAATAGTCAGAGCTGTGTAGAGGTGTGAAGTTGGGACAGGCTCAACCAGGAAGCTTGGTAGCTTATAAACAAAACATAGGGCAACCAATAATTGTGAGAGAAGCATGAGGGGAACATAACAATGCTTGCATATCTCGAAGATGTCTTATATCCCAGACTATAGCAGTGAGGATATTTGTGCAGAAGACTAATATGGATGATTGTCTTGGTGGAAAATTGGGAAAGTGGTCATCATTAGAGTCTTATACTTTCCTACGTTTTGCGTTGTGCGTTGTTTTTTTGGTGGATCTTTGCGTCTTTTGTCCCAGGGACATGGTTGAGATGTGGTGTGTACGGCGCGTCTGAATGGGCATTGATGTATAAGCTGCATAAATTGCAGTGCTTCTTCCGGGTGCGTAAAAGCTTTGGGTTCACCTGATGGAGTTAATAGCCATAGAGTGGCGGTGTAGGCCAAGGTGAATTTGATGCCGTGTTGATGTAAAGTTGAACATATTGGTTGGAAGGCTTTGCGCTTTCGTGAGACTTCTTGGGAGTAGTCCGTGAATAGTAGCAGCTTGTGGCCATCAATTTGAAATGAGCAAGAGTTCTGAAAAGAATTGAGGAGAGCCACTCTGAATAATTAAGATACTTAACAATCACTGACCTGGGTGTGCGCCTATCGTTGGAAGGCGAGCCTAGGCAGTAAGCCCTTTCCACAGTGCATGGCGTAGTGAGACCCAGGGTTGTTGGGATATGTGTGGAACACAGATCCATGAGGGAGCTAGACCTGTATGACTCAGGGAGCTTGATGATTCGCAGATTGTTTCTGCGTGAACGATTTTCCAAATTGTCTAATTTCTCTAAAATGTACTGCTGCATGTGTGCTATTTGGTGAGCGCCCGCTTGTGAAGAGTGGGCCTCATCTTCTAAATCAGAGATACGCTGCTCAGCATCCATCAATCGTTTAGCATGTTCGCCCAACTCTCTTCTGAGTTTTTCTATGCCTGTGGATACCATCCTATCTGCTGCTGTAATTGTAGGTGAGAGGAGTGTAGCTACAGCCTGAGCTATTCTCTCATGCTGGTCTGCTGGGGGCTGTGGCTCTGGAGACTCTAGCTTGAGCGGAGGAGCTGTTGTGCCTGTCTCCATACCGTTGGCCATCTTGGCTGCAGTGGAGAGAGAGCCACAGGAGTCGGGTCTCGGGACAGCGGTGGGCCCTGTGTGAGCTGGTACGAGGTACCGCTCCATGCAGTGCTGCTAGGGGGTTCAGGGGTGAAGCCCACGTGGGCGAATACGACTGTCCCAGAGGTGGGGGGGCTGAATTTCCAAGCCACGGGAGACGGAGCTGCTGTGATCTGCCTCCTTAACATGTGGCACCGAAACCGGAAGTACATTCCTTAACCTTAAACTTCTGTGGTGATCAATGAGGGTCTGGCTTATGTGTCCCAACACCCAAAAACCCCTGCAATCTGATTAGGGGCTTTCAACATGGTTTTGGACCTGGCTATGTACAGGTCGGGTCAGATAATTACGGATTCCCCGAGAGGCCATTAGACTCTGATGTACCGAATCCTCACAGCCTTCGCGTTAGTAGACTCTCCTTTAAATACCGCTCCCGCAAGGCCTACTCCTGCTTTTCTACCACCCAATCCTCAATGTCCCGCATAGATTTTATTTTTCTATCCCGAACCCTGCTTCCCTCCCTGGCAGACGTGGGATTTAGTCCCAGACTGCTGTTGGACCATTCCCCGTATTGGGTGGTGTTAAAGTTGAGTTCCCTCCTAGCAGGCCCCTAGGAGACTCTGATGAGTTACTCGGGAATGGCACCGTTTTTTTTGTTTTTTTTGTTGTTTTTTTACTGCTAATGCCTGAACTGCCCCCTTTGGAGCAGTGTGGGAAGCATATAAGCCTCCTGCCAGGGCCATGCTTACTCTTCGCATTTCCTGTCTGAAGTGTACCTCTACACAGGTAATCAACACCACTGAGGCCCACCTGGCACAATTAGAAGAATCATTTCAGCTGCAGAATTGAAGTCACATTAAAACTTGGTTGAACAACTACACCTTGAACAGGCCAAACAACATCTGT